CAGCCTTCCTTCCTTCCTTCCTTCCTTCCTTCCTTCCTTCCTTCCTTCCTTCCTTCCTTCCTTCCTCCTCTCCCTCCCTCTCCCTCCCCCCTTCTCTCTTTCTCCTACATTCTCACCCTTGCTTTTCTTTCTTTCTTTCCTTCTTTCTTTCTTTCTCTCTCTCTCTCTCTCTCTCTCTCTCTCTCTCTCTCTCTCCTTTCCTGTCCTTTCCTTTCCCTTCCTTCCTTTCGAGTCTCACTCTGTTGTGCAGGCTGGAGTGCGCCAGCACAATCATAGCTCACTGCAGCCTCAAATTCCTGGGCTCAAAGGATCCTCCCATCTTGGTCTCCTGAGTAGCTAGGACTACAGGTGTGCACCGCCATACCTGGCTAATTGTTTTACTTTTTGTGGAGACAGGGTCTCGCTATGTTGCTCAGGTTGGTCTTGAACTCCTGGCCTCTGGCAGTCCTCCTGCCTCAGCCTCCCAAACTGCTGAGATTACAGGCATGAGCCTTCAGTGAACTATGATTGCACCACAGCACTCCAGCCTGGGTGACAGGGTAAGACCCTCACTCCAAAAAAAAAAAGGTTCAGCCCATTGTTCACCAATAGAAAAAGGATACAGGAATACAGGAAACCAGAGTTGGTTGGCTAGGGGCTTGGTCAGGGAAGGAATCTAGTAATTACTGAAGGATTTAGTGGTCAGGCCTCTTTCTAGTGAATCTTTTCCCACTTGTGAAAGGGGTTACTTTGAGCTTCATACTCCCTTTCACCTCAAGGCATTGTGAGGACTAAAGGAGACCATATATGTGTGTGAAGTCTCTGAGGCACTTCTGCACCCCCAATGTCTGGCACCAGACCTGGCACACAGGTGGTACCACTAAATGACAGAAGGAACGGTTAAGGTGTTATAAGGTGGTACATGAAGGCTGTGTGCTTGTTATATTATGACCAGGAGAATATCAAGATGGTACAAGCCCAGAAAGGAAGTTGGCAGGGTGGAGACCAAGAGATGGCAGATAAAGAGGGTTCTGGTCAGAGGTGTCTGCTGTGGCAAGGGAATAAAGAGCTTGGCCATGATGGAGTATGGCCAAAGGGAGAATTGAAGCACCAAGGAGCAGCAGAGGTGCTGAGACAAGAAATCTAGAAGGTTGTCAACCTATTAGCTTATGTTATGGTTTGAGAATAGTGAGGCAAAAGGAAGACTATCCTCTGGGGAGAAGGAGATGGGTAATGAGAAGGACTTGGGCATAGGAGTGGTGATTTGGAAACAGGAATCGGTATCCTGCAGGATGATGTGGGGTCGCAGTGGTAAGAAAGAGCAAGATAATGCCAGGCCTGGCATCCTGAAGTGTACACTCTCTCCCCTACTCAGTAAGGATGAATGGAGACTGAGTGGAAGAGCTGGAGGGTTTCTTGAGGGAACATAGAAGGTAATATGTTCTAAGGGACAATCCAGGATTCTCTTAGAACAAAGGGTGACTGGAAGAGATTTGTTCTAGATTGGCATGTCAGTGTAGGTCTCTGAGACAATTTGATGGCTCAGCTGATCAGTTGATGAACAAAATACTTGCTTTGGCCCAACTGGCTCAGGTAGTTGGGATCTCAAGGTTTGGCTCAGTGACTGAGGAGTTTAGGCAGCTGCAAGAGAGAAGCTTCCATCTAAGGAAAAAAGCATCTCCTGAGTGACAAACCACTGTAAACCTGAATGATTCAGGGTACTCACCAAGTGAACAAGAGCAAGACAAGAGCTAGGATCTAGTCAGATAGACTCAGTAAAGACCCAAAAGGATCATAACACGTCTCCAGCACTTTGTATTTCATAAGGATCTTTTGTATATCTTTTGTATATGACATCTTACTTAATCCTCAGCAACCCTCTATGGTAGATGAAATTATCTCCATTTTACAAATGATAAAATAGAAACATTAAGTTTCCAGAGGAAGCTGGAGCTATTTGCCCAAGGGTTATGAATTGATCCTGTGTGTTGTTGCCTCTTTAGTTGTGTATAGCCTTCAGTTGAAGGCAGCCCTGGCTAACCTTGTCAGCCTACCTTACGTGGTTATCCTAGCCTTTAAAGGGTGTTTGTCCTCTGTGTTGGAGGCTAGGACTCCCATCTCAGGTAAAATGGAAGGTCCTGCAAGGAGTAAATCTCCCCTACCAGAGCCTTGAGATTCCAAGGTATGGGCAGGACCTGGGCTGTAGGCCTTGACCATAGTGTACGCACATTAAATGTGTGTGTGTGTGTGTGTGTGTGTGTGTGTGTGTACGTGCACAGTGTGTATTTGTCTGAGAGGTCTGTGGAATCAGTTTGTCCACTCTGGGGGCCCACCAAGCATACAGAAACATATTTTTGCATGTGTTCAGGGGAAGAAGAACCAAAAAAGAATTTCTTATTTATTTGTGTCCTGTCTCCTCTATTTCTTCCTCTTTCCATGTTTTTCCTCTCGTTTCTCTTTTTCATCTTCTTTCCTTGTCAGCTTAGGTGACACTGTGATTAAGTCCTTTGGCACTCAACTTTGTTCTGTGTTACATGTCAGAGGACAGGGTCTCTCTGTGGCTAAGACTTTGTAACCTCAGTTAGTGGCTGTATAATCCAAAGTACTTCTGCTGACAGTGTCCTGGTGGTGGGGAAGAGACAGGCAGAATTTGGTTTAGCTTCACCTGAGTCTGAACCTCACTTCAGCTCTGAGTTTACTATATATGGCACCATCGTGGCTGGATAGGACCAGATGATACTTGTGACAACAGACAAAGATTTGCTTTGGACATTAAGATAGGGTTTGGTCAGGGGAAACTGAAGAAAGTTGTATATCAGGAGCAGCCAAGAGTTAGCCTATCTGTCTCCTCTCCACAGCAACAGGTGAGAAGAAGGACGGCTGGTCATGGGAGGCCTACCTAGAGGAGCAGAAGGCCATCACTGCTCCGGTCAGCCTCTTCCAGGACGTGAGTTGGACAATTTCCACCTAGGAAAAGGCTTGTCTTCCCTGTCCAGAGATTCACCACCAAACTCAGGTCTTCTGGTGTTTTCTGTGTCAGACATTCCTTGATGGACCGGCAGAATGGAAGAGGGAGAGACTGGCTAGGGGCCTGGAGTAGAAAAGGGCCCACCCTAAGGGGCTGCCAGGGTAGAAGAAATAGGGAGATGGAACTCAGCTCACTCATCACTTGGCCTGCAGACTTTGGAATTCTGGTGCCTTCTATTTAATTCAGCATTGATCTTTCCATAACTTGGGCTAGAAGGAGCCCTTAAGTCCAGCCCTGATTTCCCATATTTTTCAAGGGACCCAGGAGCTATATTGTCCCTCTCTGGATCCCTACAACAAAGATCCCCAAATAAGTTGCCCCTTTGGTAATACCAAGCAGGAGGGGCCTAAAGGCAGCTCCTTCACCCCAAGCCCACTAGGCAAGGATAAGGCTGGATGGAAGCTGGGTCCTCTCCACTCTGTGCGTTGACAGTCCCAGTCAGTCACTCATCACAAGAATGGCTTCAAACTGGGCATGAAGTTGGAAGGCATTGACCCTCAGCACCCGTCCATGTACTTCATCCTCACTGTGGCCGAGGTGAGCTGGGGCTTGGTACCACCTTTCTGATGATGTCTCTTGTGTGGATAGGTAGAGCCTGCTGGGGACATGGAGGGAGATACTACCCCGCCCTCAGAATGCTTATTATCAAGTAGGGGATTAAGTTGGAACACACACGAAAGCATGAAAAAAAAAGAACAAACGGCAGATGAAGGGTGACAGTGTTACTGAATGAGTGTATACTGTCCGTTCTAGGGGAGCTTGAGGAGGAGAGGTCTCACGGCCAGGAAGGTTGGCATGAGTCCCACAAGGTCCTTGTCCTCTAGGAACTCACAGTTGTGTAGGAAATCAGCCAGATAAACATCAGTTACATGCCACAGGGATGGCAACAGATGTGAGCAGGGAGACAGAGGGAAGGAGTGATTGATTCTGCCTGAGGGAACAGAAAAAGCATAGAAAAGGGCCTCCTTTGAGGAGTCTTGCAAGGTGAGTCGTGAATGAAGAGGGAGTTCCAGGCAGAAGAAGCAAAGTGAACAAAGGCTCTGAGACAGGGAACAGGTCGCCACATTGAAGGATTTTCCTTAGCTCAGCAAGACACGAGCAGAGGCATGAGTGGGGAACAGCTAGAAAAGGCAGCAGAGGGAATGGTTGTTGGGGCACTGGGCCTTGGTGGGTGCCTTGGAGTTCTGGCCAGGGCTCAGAAGGGCAGGAAGCTATCATAGAGTCCGCCTGTCTTACACCCAGAACTCAGGGCTCATGACTACATGAACTGTCCTCACTGCAGAATGGGTGAGCATGGGGCAGAGTTCAGGATGGAGGAAACCCAGGAGTGAAGAAAGGTGGGGTTAGGGAACCTGCTAGCATTAGAGCCCCTGAGACTACCAGGCTGGGCCAGGAGTGATGGGGGATGGGGAGTAGGACATCTGCTGGCATTGGCATTCCTGTGATTCCCCTCATGGGATCAGGTGTGTGGCTACCGTCTACGTCTACACTTTGATGGGTATTCTGAGTGCCATGACTTCTGGGTCAATGCCAACTCCCCTGACATTCACCCTGCTGGCTGGTTCGAGAAGACTGGACATAAGCTGCAGCCTCCCAAAGGTAAGACCTACCTTGGGTGGTCACGGTGAGGCCATGAGTCCTCAGACTCATTCCTTCCTACCCTTGGGTCCCCTCCTCCCAGCTCTTGTGTTTTCTGACCTGGTACCAAAGTCAGCCCCAAAGCCAGTCCCAATTCATCACATCTTGATACAACTCTGTTGCAGGGCCAAGGGCTTCTGCTTTGCCCTTGCTCTCTGAGTATCCATTCTGGTTGTATTCTGCTTCGGTAGGGGGTCCCTGGGCAGGTTCTTGAGGGTTGGGGTCTCCGCAGGCATGCCTGATTCTGCTGCTTCAGTGTGGGGTGCTCGCGCCGTGCCCCAGCCTCTGCACGGCGTTCTGTTCATCCCCCTTGAGGGGCCTAGGTTACAAGGAGGAGGAGTTCAGCTGGAGCCAGTACCTGCGCAGCACAAGAGCTCAGGCTGCCCCCAAGCACCTGTTTGTGAGCCAGAGCCACGTGAGTGCCCCCGAGTGAGAGTGAACATCACCCCCTACACCACACACACACACAAGCCAGAGTCACTGCAGCCAGCCCAGAATATCTGACTCATCAGAAGAGAGCCCATCCGTTGATTCTGTTGGCTGTGTTCTGGTCTCTCATCTCAGATGGGAGGACCCCTGGCCCACTCTCTCAGACTGGGAATGGAGATGTCATTGCTCGAATGTTCTTGCTTTAGTTTGCTCAGCAGTTCTTTGTTGTAAGGTCAAAGCTTCTATTCTGGGAGCTTATTTTTCCTTCCTTTTGACCAATGTTGACGCACTTTCATTCATTCCCAACAACTGCCCCTTGTCCTTTCCTCTGTTCAAGGCAACCAGTAGCTTATCAGCAGTTAAAGTATCTCACATAATCCCAAGCAAAAGGCTTGAGACATACAGGGAGCCCTCATTAAACATACTACCATATTGAGGTATGGTCCAGGGTCCCCATGGGCCAGGGACTGTAATGCTGTTCGGGCAGGGATACTTCTTCCCCCACCCCAGTCCAGACCCACAATTCATACTTGCAGATTCCCAGGTGGCAGGTGAGGTTCCATTTACTGTCGTGACAGGGAATGCAGACTTTTAAGCCAAACTATTAAATCTTAGGCTGCCATTGACTAGCATTGTGTTCCAGGTCAAGTTATTTAACTTTTTTTTTTGAGATGGAGTCTCACTGTTATCCAGGCTAGAGTGCAGTGGCATGCTCATGGCCACCGCAGCCTCAACCTGCTGGGCTCAGGCAATACTTCCATCTCAGCCTTCCAAGTAGCTGGAACTACAGGCACCCACCACCATGCTTGGCTATATTTAACTTCTAAAATGGGACTAATAATACCAATCTCAAAGTGTTGCTAAGATCCAGGGAGATGTCTTTTGAAGCTTGTGCCTGGTACATGGCAAGTGCCCAGCTTATACTGGTCCCCTCCCCTCCTTCTGTGCCTTAGGTGTCAGCTCTTTCTTCCCTAGGACCCCACTATTACTAAAACCACCTGAGGCCAAGCTAGGCCAGTCTTGTCTGGGGGGAAGATCTGTACTCGAACTGCCAGATTCTTCAGGCAAATGCATAGCCTCCTGCCAGGCACTTACCTTCTGCCACGGTGTTCCTTGGAGACTGGAAGCTCCTGAGTGGCTCAGAACTCAGATTATGGTTCTGCCCTGAAAGTTCCTCTATCCTAGCCTATTTCTCCCTCCTTCCTCACTGCCCATACTCCGGGCAGTCCCAGGGAACCTGCTCCATCATTTGCTAGTGGTCTCTGGGTTAACGCTAACCAGCCTGGTCCTGGCTGTGGCAGCCTTTCTTCTTGCCCCTAGAGTCCCCCACCCCTGGGCTTCCAGGTGGGCATGAAGCTGGAGGCTGTTGACCGCATGAACCCATCCCTCGTCTGCGTGGCCAGTGTGACCGACGTGGTGGACAGCCGCTTCCTGGTGCACTTTGACAACTGGGATGATACTTACGACTACTGGTAGTGGGAGGGTCCAGACTTGACCTGAGGGGTGAGGGGATGGCAGGGGGCAACTACTTTGATATCTTAGACACCATGTGGCCCCACTCGGTCCATTCTTGATGTTGAGATCCTGCTCGGGGTGGGGGGTGATGGATTTGAACTGTATCATAAGAAACATGGCTTGATATTAAATGTTTCATCTAAAAATACCATGGTTGAGATGAGCAAACCCCTGTGATTCATGATTTTCCCTTAGATGTTATGGTGGAGTTTTTAGTTAATGTTGCCATTTTCTAACTTTGTCATCGGCCATCTGTCTTCACCTCACTATGAAGTAGATGATGGTGGGCCCTGAGCTATGCCGTCAGAGGACAGCAGGCTCCGGGCCCCCAAGATTCTCTGGGATAGTGACATGTTCTTGGGTTTCAGGTGTGATCCCAGCAGCCCCTACATTCATCCAGTGGGCTGGTGCCAGAAGCAAGGGAAACCCCTCACCCCTCCACAAGGTGACCCTGCTGCCTGAGCAAGCTCCTTTTCCAGGCCAGGCCCCACTTCCCTCTCCTCAGTGCCTTACCAGTACCTCACTAGCTGGCTCTGTAGGGTCAGGATGAGAGGACAGATGTGTTCTGGAGCCTCAGCTTCATAACCTGGGAGTTGAGAATCCTTTGATTTTAGGAGAGTCCTGTCATGCTCTAACTCCATTGAGGTTTAGAGGAGGAAAGGCAGATGACTGTCTCAGCAAAGGATTAGGGAGTCCAAAGCAAAGGAAATGTGTCCTTCCTCCCAGGAGTGTTACACTGGCCCAAGGACAATTCAGATGGGGCTGGAGTGGGAGCAACAGGCCTAAGGTGACAAAAGTCAGGGTTCCCAGATAGCCCTGTGAGCCTGGGTGGCTTCGGTACCTGGGGGGCTTAACCCTGCTCTTGTCCTCTCCTCCAGACTACCCAGACCCTGATAGCTTCTGTTGGGAGAAATATCTGGAAGAAACTGGGGCCTCTGCTGTGCCTGCCTGGGCCTTCAAGGTGGTGAGTTGGTGCTCCCTGACCCTAGAGCTGAGCTCAGGAAGATCTGGAGCACCCAACCAGCCAGCCATAGCCCCTCCCTTCTCTGGGAAAGGTCACAATTCCCAGGCACAGCACTTGGGCTCCCTTCTTCAGGCCTCTGCTCTGCTGAGCTGGGCCTTGGCCTGAAGGCAACTGTCCTCCTGCAGCGACCCCCTCACAGCTTCCTGGTCAACATGAAGCTGGAGGCTGTGGACCGTAGGAGCCCAGCCCTGATTCGTGTGGCCAGTGTGGAGGATGTGGAGGATCATCGGATAAAGGTGACTTAGGGACCCTGGGGCTGGGGGAGTAGACAGGAGTTCTGTAGACTGGTTAGAGGTCAAGGACATGGCATGAGACAGATGAAGCCAAAGATCTTGGATCTCTTTCTCACCTCATTCGTGACTTACTCTTGTGGGCTTGGACAAGTCATTTCTCCTCTTGAGCCTTAACTTCATCTGTAAAACGGGCCTAATTATCCTTGTCCCTCCCAATGATTGATGGACGATGCCACTAACTTAATAAGTGAAGCCCTTGGAAAATGTGGTAACTGGGTCCAGATACTGTGGGGTTAGCCCCTTGGTTCTTCCAATCCAGGATTATGTTTCTGACAGTCCCCAGGGATGGGGAGAGCCTCCTGGTGCCTGGAGGACCTCCCAGCTAAGCTGGGCTCCCTGAGGAACACCTGACCTCCAAGGGCCTTTCTTCCCCAGCTCCACTTTGATGGCTGGAGTCATAGCTATGATTTCTGGATCGATGCTGACCACCCAGACATCCACCCTGCGGGCTGGTGCTCCAAGACAGGACATCCCCTGCAGCCTCCTCTCCGTGTGTACTCCTCGGGAACACTGACCCTTTTCTTCCCCTCAAACTCTGACCCCCCTCCCTTCCTATAGCTTGTTCCAGGGGCTCTGACCCCCATGCCTAGGTATGACAGAGGGTTCTTGTGCCCATTGTGAGTTCTGGGATCCCCCATCTTCCCCACTCCAGGACTAAGCTGTGCTGCTGGCAGCCTCAGTTGTTGGATTTGGATTGTCAAGGTGTGAAGGGGCAAGCTCACTTAATTTCATGTGCTTTTCAAGAGGTAGCTACACACCCGGGGGCTTTTCAGCATCTAGCAGAGCCACACCAAGCATGAACTGTGTCTGTAAGGAGATGCTGGCTCCCTTAAGTACAATTCTGGTTCTCTGTGCAGGCCTGGGTTAGAGTTCAGGTCATTGGACTTCTCAGTCCCGTTCTCACCCTTAGGATTTCCCTTCCTTATTTTGCCTCTGCCATCATGTTTGTCTCACATGGAGTGTTGATCCTTCTTGAATGTTCTCCAAGCATGAGCAGAGCCTTGTAAAGTTACCAAAGTCTTGGGGATGAAAACAGAAAAGAACTGAGAATTGCATGGATCTGCCCAATGTGGCTCCTGAGGTCCAGCTATGCCCACAGCAACTCTGAGTTGATCCTCTCCCTGAGGATCCTCTTAGGTCTCATCACAGTCTGTGAGGCCCAGGCCCTCCTTCTACAAAGAGAGACATATCCAGTAGCAGAGAATGGTGTTGCAGCCTTGCTCAGGGACCCTATCCCTGGGGAACTAGTTCCTAGTGTTGATCTCTCCTGTGGAAACTGTTTCTTCCCTGCCCTTCTTTGCTCTTCCATCCTTCCACCTCCAGGACTTTGTGCTGACTCTTTTCTTTTGGTTCTTCCAGGACCTAGAGAGCCCAGTTCTGCATCCCCTGGGGGCTGTCCCCCGCTCAGCTACAGGAATCTGCCCCACAGTAAGACCTCCAAATACAGCTTTCACCACCGGTGAGTAAACAGCTCCTGCTGAGAGACCTCAGGTGTGTGAGAGACCTCAGGTATTCTTCAGGGAGAATTTGTTTTGTACCTACTGTGTGTTGCCGATCAGGGTTCACCAAGACACTCTCCAAGTGGCACCAGGGTTGGGAGGGCTCAGTGGGAACAAGTAGATTCGGCCCAACCTAAGCTTTCTTACTCCCCAGGAAGTGCCCCACTCCTGGTTGTGATGGCTCTGGACATGTCACAGGCAAGTTCACAGCTCACCATTGCCTCTCGGGCTGCCCGCTGGCTGAGAGGAACCAGAGCCGGGTGAAAGCAGAGTTGTCTGACTCGGAGACCTCAGCCCGCAAGAGGAACCTCTCAGGATTCTCCCCAAGGAAGAAACCTCGCCATCATGGCCGGTATGAAGTTCAGGGAGTCAGGGCCTGGGCTTCCTGGGGTGGGGGGTGGCGCCTTGTGTCCTCTAGGGCCAGCACTGATTCTCTACCATGGATCTAGTCCCTCTCTCTCCAGAATTGGACGCCCTCCGAAGTTTCGGAAGATTCCTCAGGAAGGTTTCCAGAGTAAGTCAGATCAGCTGCTCCCATGTCCTGCACAAAGTGTTCACAATGAGTGTGCTATAGTTGGTGGAATGAAACACCAGGATTGACCAGGGTGGAAGCTAGATAGAGGGCTGCTTCTTTGCTTGAGATACTTTCGTGGAGTACAGTACACAGAATCAGGCTTGAATGACCTTGGGTTCCATACTCATTTCTACCATGGCCTTGTTGAGAGTCTGTAGGAAGGGTGCAGAGCCTCTCTGGGGCTCTGGTTCTCCACTGTGAGGCAGGATGAATGCCCCTGCTCTTCTCTGATTCTCGGCTTCCTGAGAAGGAGGCTATGGCTATCACTTTCAACCTATGTGACTTGGAACAAGTCACTTAACAGCTTCTGAGCCTCAGTTTCTTCACTTAAAAATTGGGTAATATCTGCCTTCCAATTGTCAATACCTGAAATAATACTGGTTACTACTGTGGCTTACTGAGCACCTACTACCGTGGACCAGGCACTATGCCAGGTGCTTTACATATACTAAGTCTCATAAGCATTCTATAATATGGATATTGTTTTCTCCTTCTGAGTGAGGAGTGTGATACTCAAAGGGTGACGTCACTTACCCAAGCTCTTCAACTTGTAAGTGGCAGAACTGGGATTCAAACTCCAGTCTGATCTGACTTCTGCTTTGTGTTGCTGGTATAATAGATAAAAAGCACCTACCTCAAATGTCAGTTTACATCTCAGTCCCCTCGGATTAGTTTGCCAGGCCTGCCATAACAAAATACCACAGACTTAAACAACTTAAACAAAATACCACAGGCTTAAACAACAGAAATTTATTTCTCACACTTCCTGAGCCTAGAAGTCCAAGATCAAGGTGTTTGCAGGCTTGGTTTCTTTGGAGACTTCTCTCCATGGCTTGCAGATGGCCACCTTCTTGCTGTGTTCTCGCATGGTCTTTATGTGCGAGCATCACTGGTGTCTCCTTGTGTGTCTAAATGTCTTTTCTTGTGGACACCAGTCAGCTTGGATTAAAGCCCATCCCAGTGACCTCATTTAACGTAATTACCTCTTTAAAGGCCCTTTCTCCAAATACAGTCCCATTCCAGAGTACTAAGGTTAGGGCTTCAGAATACGAATTTGTCAGGCAAGTGGGGGACACAGTTCAGCCATAACATGCTCTGCTCTGAGGGGAGTGGGCAGAGGACTGAGCCCACCAACTGGGTGGTGAATTCATCTCATATCTTCAGCTACTAGTACAGGGCCTGATACATGGCAGGGACTCCAGCAGTCTTGCCTCGGGTGAATTGAATGCATGTCATTTTAAGGCTAAAAGAGACCTTGGGAAGTCACCTGGTTCATTGCACTTTGAACAGGAGGACCTAGGCTGTTCCAGTTCTTCTTGAGGAACAGTCTCTGACCTGGGCAGTGTATAACATAGTGATTAAGCACAGGCCTGAAGTCAGGCTACCTTTTACAGGCTGTGAGACCTCGGGCAGGTCTTGAGCCTAAGCTTCCTCATCTGTAAAATACTGACAGTATTAGTACCCACTTCCTGATGTGGTGAGAGGATTAAGTGAGACAATCCATGTAAAGTGATTAGCACCACTCCCACCGGTGGTATAATTAGTCTCAATCTCTTGCCTGACTCTCTCTTGCTACCACTCCGTGATGTTTCCTCTTGGTAGAAACAGAAGTGGACACAGAAGCAATTCCTGCAGCTTTAGACCTGAGTAATGAGGGTCGTGGCCCCTAGGCCCTCAGAATGAGGAATTCTGAGGATTCAATCACTATGGGCACCTCTTCTACCCACCCATGGTTCACCGGTCAGTTTCCATTGCAGGACCAAGTTCTGAACACTAGAGGGCACTTTCTACTTTGTTCATACCAGAATTAAGCTGTAGAATTCTTGGGCTGCTACATCTTTCCAGAGGCCCAGACTGGCCCCAAGAGGGTGAGGAAGGGCTCACCCAGTGCCTCAAAGCATTTCAAGGACAGAACAGGGGACAGAGCCCAAGTCTCTGACCTCTGCAGGGTTTCCCTGCTCTTCCAGTTCGCCTCTTGCACAGAAGGGGCCCTGGTCACTCTGGGTTTTTTCTAGAAGTGACTTCACACACACAGCCTCAGCATAGGTTCCAGGGTTTGCTGGTAGACAGCTCCATAGGGAGGGCTTCCTGAAGAGGGCAGGGCTTGACTGGGCTTAGTTTTAGGGTCAGGAGTATCAGCTTCTTGAAGGAACCGGAGGAATCATTTCTGACCTGCAGCTGGAAGGGTCCTAGGAAATTTAAAAATTTTTTTAAAAATTTTTAAAAATTTACTGTAACTTCCTATAAGAGCTTCTGGCCTATGCTCTGGGGAAGAACAATAAGGAGGAATGGTTCCTACAAACTTGGTGTTGTCCCCCAAACCCTACCCCTAGATATGAGGAGGACCAGTTACAAGGCTTCAAAGAGCAAGCATTTGTATAGATGGGAGGCCAAACTTGTGGCCAAGTAGATGAGGTACTAATGGTGGTAGCTCTCATGGCAGGTCCTAGGTGTGCCCCACGTGGGCTATGAGAGGAACTGACTGAGTGCTGTTCCTTGGCACTACTGAGGGGCTGTCTGGGGTGTGGGCAGATGCTTGGGTTTCGCTGACAAGCAGAGAAGGCACAGAGGAGAGCGGTCAGTGGGACTAGGGGTAGAATCTCAGAGGCTCTGCACATGAATGCGAGGGGCAGAAGAGCCAGGCTGAAAGGGAAAGAGGGCAGGACAAACTGACCGGCAAGGAGGGTCTTTTAGAAGAGGGCATTCATGAACATCTGGAACTAGCACCAAGGGAATAAGAAAGAACTCTCTCTCCTGGACTGTGGGGCGGAGGCTATGCAGGCCCTATGAAAGAGTGGCCACATTACCCAAGGTCAGCTAAGGCTGGTAAAGGTGGACAGGGACACTTCGCCAGAGCAGCCAAGGGGGATGAAGTCTAAGTGGGCAAGTTCCAAGCCTGACCAAGGAGGAGGCCAGGCCACACAGCATCAGTCATCAGCTCCAGAGAGCCACCTGAGGCTGGAGGTCAGGATCCCAAGAACAGATCAGGAAGAAAAGCTGCAGGCAACACGGAGTTGGGGGGTTGGGTCAGGCATCACCCTCTAGTGCCAGCATAGGCAGGAGTGCAGACCAGGCTGCTGGAAGAGGGGGTGGTGCTAGAGCTTGAGGCAGTGGCCATGGCTAGAGGGGTTCGCCTTCAGACTGGTTAGGGGGACTGTGGTCTGAAAGAGAATCACCTGGCTCTGAGAGAGTTTGTCAGAGCCCAAAAGGAGTTAGGAAAAGAAGGGCAAACAGACTGGACTTCTGACATCAGGGCTGAGCTTGTTTGCATGTTGAGGACCATTTTGATGCGTGGTATTTAGTGAATGGTGTCTTCGGAGATGCAGCAGCTCCAAGAGCGATCCTTACAGGGCCCAGGGTGGTACAGCCTCAGAGAGATGGGGTGAGGGTCATTCCAAACAGCTGACCTGAGAGTCTAAGGTGAGGGACCCACTTTACCAGAAGGAGGGAGCACTGAGTGAGGAATCAGGAGATACAGCTCACCCACTTAGCTCTATAGGCTATCAGCAGGGGTGCATAGTCCTGTCTACTCTGCCATCAGTCTCTTGAGTGGCTTGGGTAGGCATGGGCTTTGGGTCTTGGCGTCAGCTTGCCAACCTCTGCCTCTGCTTTCCAGCACTCACCCCCGATGTTGTGCACCAGTCCCTCTTCATGTCAGCCTTGTCGGCCCACCCTGACCGCTCACTCTCAGTGTGCTGGGAGCAGCACTGCAAACTCCTGCCGGGAGTGGCAGGCATCTCGGCCTCAACAGTCGCCAAGTGGACCATCGATGAGGTAAGGAGTGAGGGGCCTTTCTTCATCCTTCTTCTTCCTCGTCTCCTGCTTTCTCCCTCTCGCCACACCTTGGTGGGAGGGCCCATGAAAGGCCCGGGTCTGGTAGGACCTGGTACCACTCCTGACAGTGCCTGCTTGTCCCCCATGTTCAAAGTCCCTTCTAGTTGCCTGGTGAGGGCTTGCTGAGACACTGCCCAATGGGCCCATCATGGCAGATGGGAAGGGGTCTGCACAGCTAGTCCAACCAGAGATCCAGCAGGAGAGACAGACTTCAGTCCTGGGCCTCAGGAGCAGGGGGCCCTGCCTTGCATGTCCACCAGCACAGAGGCTCAGGCATCCCCTTGGGCTGATGAGATAGAGCAGCACTAGCACAGCCCAGAGCCACCTAGGCCATGTAGGTCAGCTCCTCCCTACACTTCTAAGCCCTGTCCCCTGGTCAATATATCTTCTTTGGTTTCCAAGGTCTTCGGCTTCGTTCAGAACCTGACAGGTTGTGAGGACCAAGCACGCCTCTTCAAAGATGAGGTAAGGTGCGCACGCAAAGTGACAGACAGAGGGTCACTGTTTCCTTGAGACAGCAGGAAGCAAGTGGTGCCCTCTCCAGCGCTGCCCCAGCTAAGGAAGACACTGTTGCCCTACCAGGCGAGACTAGTCAGAATGACCCACATCTCTGGGAAAAATCTGGTATGGACTATGGCCCAGCTTGGGTACTTTGTGTGTTCAGATCATCTTCAGGAAGGAAAAGACATCCAGAGACAGCATTCCATTCACTGCTCTGCTCTCTGCCCAGTTCTTTGTTTGCCAAACTTAGCTTCCTCGGTGATAGTCAGGAAATTAAAATGTTATTTTTTTCTTCTAATCCAATATGACTGGTAATTAAAGTGTATTTTGAAAGGCGCAGGTATTGCTATTTGCTGCAGGGATCCTAATACACAATCAAAACCTCAGAGCCTAGTAAAGATAAGGAGTAACCTGGGTGTGGTAGCACACAACTGTACTCCTAGCAGTTCTGGAGGCTTAGGTGGGAGGATTGCTTGAGCTCAGGTGTTTGAGACCAGCCTGGACAACATAGCAAGACCTTATCTCAAAAAAAAAGATAAGAAGTAGTGAGTTATAGATTTTAAAAAAGAATATTAGAGCCAGGCTCGGTGGCTCAGCCTGTAATCCCGCGCCTTTGAGAGGCTGAGGTGAGTGGATTGCCTGAGCCCATGGGTTCAAGATGAGCCTGGGCAACTTGGCAAGACCTTATCTCAAAAAAAAAAAAAAAAAATTAGCTCTGGAGACAGTCTGGGTTTGACTCCCATTGTGTGTCCCAGGTCTGCCTACTTGAACTGTTTATTATCTCTGAGCCTGTATCTTCTTGTCTGCAAAATGGAGATAAAGTAGGTATGATGAGTCTACATTGCAGGGCCATTGTGAACATTGGAAAAGATGAATGAATCATTATATCAGAATGTCTGGTATAATTACAGTCATGCATTGCTTAGTGATGGAGATAGATTCTGAGAAATGTATCGTTAAGCGATGTCATCATTGTGTGAATTTCATAAAGTATACTTACACAGACCTAGCTGGTGCATTTTTTATCTATATATATTTTAAATATGGAAAACCAAGTATCCCAGCACCATTACTGAATAGTAATCATTTCCCCTATTTGATCTGCAGTGCCAATATCAAATACCATATATCAGGTTTCTGTATATGCTCCATTATAATCTTATGGGGCCACTGTCATATGCAGCCCATCATTGACTGAAACGTCACATGACAGCATATCACTGGTATATATGTTTTATGGCAGTATCATGGAGTAATATATAAATCATATATTTGTATATTGTATATCAGAATGCCTGATACAGTGGGGGCACAATAAATGGTAGTTCTGATTTTTAATGCATATTTGCCCCCAAATAAAGAACTTTATCATTGGAAGGCTGAGGTGGAAGGATCGCCTAAGCCCAGCAGGTTGAGGCTGTGGCGGCTGTGAACGTGCCACTGTACTCCAGCCTAGGCAACAAGAGTGAGACTCCAACTAAAAAAAAAAAAAAAACTTTATCATGACTCTCATTTGTAGAGTTTGAAATTGGAGGGGGCCTTTGCATTTGTTTAAGGCTTCCTTCCAAAAAAAACAAATATCCCTCCTGTGCATCCTTCTCCACCCAGGAAATTGTGGTCTCAGCTGCCCTTGACTGCCTTTCCAGGAGAGGTGCCCATAAGAAAGTAGTTGCCTCCTCTTTCTCTGGAAGAGTGACCCAAGACAGCCAGTTTCTTCATTTGATCCTTGTGTTGGAGCTCCAAAACTCCTCCCTGTCCTGGGTTCTTGCCTTGGGTTCTTTCCTGGGTTGGTAATCTTCTCATTGTGTGTCTAGAGCTGAGCTCTCTGTTTCCAATGCTCTATGTCCAACATTGAACACATTGGGCTGCTGCTGCCCTAGATGCTTTTTAATTGAGTGGAATGTATGTTGAGTGAAATGCACACATCTAAAAGTTCAATTCCACAAGTTTTGTAAAATGTATATACTTGAACCCAATATGTCAATCAAGATAGAGACCATTTCTATCACACCAGACAGTTCTTTCTCAGCCCCTTTTAGTCAGTCCCCACTACAAAAGACAAACACTGTTCTAATTTCTAGCACCATAGATTAGCTTTGCCTGTTCTTGAACTCATATAAATGGAATCATACAGCATTTACTCATTTGGGTCTGTCTCTTTTTGCTCAGTGTAATGTTTTTGAATTTCTTTCATGTTACATGTACTCACAGTTTGTTTATTGCTTAAGAATATACCACAGTTCTCTTGTTAATGGATATTTGGGTTATTTTCTCCTCCCCTATATTTGAACCCTATATTTTTGTTAGCAAAACTTAAGTCTGCACTAGTTTTATTACAGCCACATCACACTAGTTTGAGGTTCATGAAAGCTCCCAAGTACTTTTCATTTCAACTATAGTTAAGCTAATTTTTCCAGTGTGTACTTGTACAACTGGTTTTTTGTTTGTTTGTTTTTGAGTTGGCGTCTCACTCTGTCACCCAGGTTGGAATGCAATGGCATGCTCATAGCCACTGCAACCTCGACCTGCTCTAGTGATCCTTCTGCCTCAGCCTTCCAAGGTGTTTATTTTTTTTTTTCTATTAACCAAATGTAAAATTTTACATGCACGCTATTAAATGTTATTTTGTTGGTTTCATAGCCTTATTGTTTTCGGTTTTGATTCTATCACCTACAGTATTAATAAGCCTTTCCAACCTCATACAGCTTGCACATTTGATAACTAAGATTCCATGTCTTTGTCCAAGTCTTCACCACACATGTTTAATGAGATAGCAGAACCACATGACACCCCATCTGAGATCTTCCTGTAGGCTGACAACAGGTCATAAAGAAACTCTTTGAGTGTAGCTGTCCAGCCGGAAGCAAGACCACCCAAAGAGTTTGATCCTCCAGGCTGTGCTTGGCTTTGCATTCTCCCCTTCTTGGGACAAAGACTGTGTCTCCCAGGAACACCTGCTGTGTCTTTTGGTTCAGCATGGTCGTGACCCACACACAAAAATTAGTGACCAAAGCAGGGAAGGTGTGCTAGTGGACCTCCAGCATCAAATAGAGTCTCAGAGTGGAGCAGGACCTTCGTGGGGGCTGAGGATCACCATCTGGGGTCCGGCCCACATCATTAGGTTACCCAGATGGGACCTGCTCCAGGAAGTGGGCTTTCTCTGGCTTAACTGATGACTGAGCATTTAGGGACACCAGTCAAAATGCTCTCTATCTGGGACACAGACTAGTCATTAGAGTTGCTTCATGAGTGAGGAATTGGAGGAAAGTAGACAGATGTGAGTAGTCTGCACTGATGGTCCTAAGGGTAGTCTGTCCAGTCCTCTTTTAGTCATCTTTATTGTAGCCTTTTTGTATTTGTCTAATTCATCAACAAATAATTATTAATGTCTGCTCTGTGCCTGCCCAGATAAAGTGATGCTATGCCAAAGCAGATGAAAAGAGACCTCATTCCCAAGGTTCCCTGAGTAGTAGGGGAGACAGAATTGTAAATGGCTGCTCCTGGTGGAATGTGGTAAGGGCTAAAGAAGTGTGTATGGGTGTCATGGGAGCTCAGAGGAGGGAAGGGCAGAGAAGGGCCATGGGCTCTGCTGACTGTGCAGCCAGAGGAACACTGGAAGCTTCTGGTTTCCTAAGGGTCCTTTTTCCTGGGCTCCTGATAGAACATACTTTTCTGTTGTGACAACATAGAAGTCTCCTCAACCAGATTTTGGAAGTACTGATTAGATTTTAGCTCGGTCTGTGTTAAGCATTCCATGTGTAGCTCTCTAAGGATCTATCCAGATTACCTCCATTTGGAGAAATTCCCTCATCCTGTCCACAGCACTGCAGGCTATGGCTTAGGGTTGATTATTGCATTGGCTTATTTTTATCCATTTCTGTGATTTCCTCTACCTTCAGGGGGTTAGTACATGACCTTTATCTTGATCCTATGACTCAAAGTTCCCCGTACACAATAGCACACATACAGTATCTTGTATCTTCTGAGATAATCTCATTGTTCCCTTACATGGATTCAAACTGCCAGACCACAAACTTCACTCTTTGCTTTGAAGAATCTGGAACCTGGGCCTTGGCGATTACTCTGGGTGAGAAATCTCGGATGATGCACATACCAGTGGGTTTTCTGAATGATAATAAATGAACACCCATGAGAATCCATGCTCAACTCTGCCTGGGCTTCCTTTCCTTTATATTCTGAACTTCAAGATATTCTTAGATCTGGCTCTGTGATTCAGTGGGACCACCAAGAGGGAGCCCCAGAGCCTGACCAGCACAGGGTGTCTGGATCTGACTGTTTCTGCATAGACACCAGGATCAGCCAAGAGGGCTCTCCAAGTCCACGAGAGTTGCTTTCTGGGGCGGCCACTTGACTGGAGAATCACTCTCACAGTTCTCAGTTTCTCAGGCACGTCTGCCCATTGAGGAAGCACTGAAAAGATAGTGGAATGAATGGCAGACTCTTTGAAAACAGGGGAAAGTACTTATTTACCAGACCCCAGATCTTAGTCCTGGGAGGCTCTTTACATTTGAGGAGGACATTTTAGGTGTTTGAAAGAAAACATAATGTAGATATTCTCATGAGGAACATTTGGCTATCGGACTTTTCTTTCTTGTCTATGGAAGGTTTTTAGCCATCAGAAATGCCAGTTTTCAGAGCCTTCTTGGTTAGTGAATAGGGAAGGACCAGGTAACTGTTTTCTCAGGACTGCTAGGGGAACAGATATATGGAGTTCATTGCCCCCACCCCATTTAACCTCTCAGGTTAACAACCTCTCTGAGATACAGACCTGCCATCGCCACATCTCAGAGATCCTTATAGTCATTATTTCAGGATTTACTGAGCATCTACCACATATTAGATAGGCAGCTCTCTAATACTCCAAGAAGGCAGATAAAGAAACCTGTACAGTTCAGTAGGGTTTGTTGAACTGTGCGAGGTCTAGGCAAGGCAGAAGGAGTGGGGAGTTCTGAATGTTGGGAGAAGCATTGGGGTTCAGCCTGCTGACCCTGGGCAGGCCTGACAGGCAGGGGCGGCAGAGGGAACAGAGGTGCAAGGCAGAAGATACCCAGTGACTAGAGAGGAGTCTGGAGCTAGGCGTGAGGAGGGCTCATGTGGAACCATGGGCAGGGCCAGGCTTGGGGGACTTCACCTCCTAAGTTGCATGAATCATGCCCCCTACACAGCTCTTACAGTGGTTAAGAGCACAGGCCAGCCAGGCGCACTGGCTAAAGCCTCCAATCCTAGTACTTTGGGAGGCTGAGGCGAGAAGATTGCCCAAGTCCAGGTGTTCAAGAGCAACCTGGGCAATTTGGTGAGACCTCATCTCTACAGTAAATCAAAAAAATTAGCCCAGTGTGGTAGCACACGCCTGTAATTCCAGCTACTTGGAATGCTGAGGCGGAAGGATCGCCTGAGCCTAGCAGGTCGAGGCTGTGGTAGCCGTGAGTGC